CCTTTGTTTTTCAAGCATTTTCTGCAAAAGTTTCAAGCAAATTTGACTTTTGAGCAGTATTGTCAAAAGAGTAGTGTATCGGAGTTCTATTAAAGATTGTGTACCAGCAAATCACGTATATACAACAGAATTATATCCGATCCAGTTGAATCACACGGATTGAAGTAATTGGACAAGTTAGTCCGCATCTGTTGCAAAAATTCTCGAAATATACAGGTTTTCTTTAATAGAAACATTTCGAGAGGAAGTTTTAGTGCTTTTATCAAAATAATAAAATATCAATTATTTTGTTTGATATTTTTCTTCGCGTTTCTTTAATTTGGCTGATGTCTAATCAAGTTGTTTTTCTCTTGGAAAAGAACGATCACAATCGACTTACTTAGACTTATCGTTTCCATAGAATTTACTGATGTTTTGTCAGATATTAGACTTGAATGTAGGTTTTTGTTTCGAAATTGCATTTGGTTATTTTAAAAAAATCTGTGCAAAAGCCATTAACAATATCAATTTAGAGACCATGTATCATAAAACGCCTCTAATTGTCTTACGACAGTGCATCACGTATTCTACTGCCACAGAACCTTTACACTTGAAAAGTCGCAGTGTGGAATTTCTTCCTCAAGAGTGAGGAGAATTGGATTAAAATAAATGTGCTTGAAGCGACTGCTTAATGAGCCAAAAACTCTCCAGTAAATCGACTAATTTGTGTATATTTAAAATTTGTTTTTAATCGACCGGTTTTTAGGGGCTTAAAAGTTTGTTTAGATCGATCGAATATTACGGAAGAAATGCAACATTGGTGACTTCGTAGGATTACAGATTGACAAAGTTGATCGAACTAACACCGATCCAAAATTATTATCTTGCAAGATCATCGCTAAAGAAGCTGAACGAGTGAAACTTGCATGTGTTTATGGTATTATCAATCAATGGTGGACAATAAATGTTTTGGTGGGCTTGACTGCTGTACCTCATGAACTAGTTCATCTACAATTGGATCATTTATAAGAGATATCGATGATTACTGCATCAAAATTATATGTTCGAAGTCCCATCAATGGTATCTGCTGTTCATGTAAAGGAGGATGTAAGACCAAGCAGTGTGCTTGTAAAAAACACCACGTTTTCTGTTCGACAAAATGTCATAAAAATACTAGTTGTTGTAAGAACATGGAAGAATAAAAATTTGTTGTTTACTTAGTTGATATTCAAATAAATATTTCATATGATAAGATTTGGACTAAAACTAAGTCAGCTATGGCTGGAACTACTGATCACTATATTCTAACTTGGCCTAGGTTAATCTTACATTGGCCTGAAGAGAAAAATATCTTAGTATAGCTTAGGCGAAACTTAGATTGACCTGAAAAAAACAGGCCAATCTTGGATTGGACTGACGATTTTTGTGAGTTCCAAGATTGGACTAGACCATTCTAGAATCCAAGATTGGCCTAGGAAAATGCCAGCCCAAACTCAGATTCAAGAATGAACTAGTTCAAACTCAGATCTTAGAATGGCCTAGGCGAATCTTAGATTGGCCTGAATCCGAAATTCGCCTACGACATATATATAAAGATGCATGCCTTGTTTGCATCTGTAGTCTACTAGGATGTTCTCAAGAAAGTTAAAGAAATACAGTTAGGTTAGACGTTAATACTGTTCATCTGTTTTAGGTGAATAAGAAAAATTTTCGCTTCTACAATAAAGTACACACTGCACTTATTAATATTCAAGCAAGAGTTACTCACGATGAATTATGTTCGGTTTGTAACGATGAAGTTCCTTCTCTTAAGACAGTTGAAAGATGATCTAAATGGTTCGTGAAAGTCCATAAGACGTTAAAGACGAAGTACGAGCTACTTGTTTTTGTATTTCGTTTTGATTCCATCGTCAATACTTTTTGTTTACTCTCACATATATAAACAGCTTTATATTACAGAGAATGAGAAAAAAAGAATTAAGAAAAACGAGAAAATCAAGAAGAGAATACATATCGAAGACAATATGAACTTATGTAACCGTTACACATGATAGCCAAACAGACCTTTTTGAAATTTTACTATTATGATATTAGTTAAAGAATGCAATAATAGCGTAGAAAAATAGAGTGTCGTTTTTATTAACAGTCAATATAGACAGGAAAGTTTTTTAAAGCTTTTGATAAGGAATTAAAGTATTACTGCCACTATGTTTAGTATGCCCTAAGTATATGAGTAATTACCAAAAGGTGCATGAAAATTTCCAGTAAATTTCTGTACTTTATCTTTGGTTGATTCTGTATGCTCTGTAATAATTTATCGTGATTTTCAACAGTTCCTTTTTTGAAAATCTGAACATATCTCAAAATAAAAACGAACTGTTTTCTCAATTCCAATCGATATCGATAACTTACATCAGCTAAAACTAGATAACTTGCACGTATTTATTATATTCATATAAAGTTATAATGAAAGATCTGGATGGTTTTTCATTTTTATGCATATAGCTCAGTTAACTCTTTCATCATTATAGAGATAACTGGAATGTCATTTGAGCAAAATCTAAATTGATTAGTGGAGTTACAAATCTCGTTTTAAGCATGATACAAAACTTATTATTATTTGTTATTATAATACGAAAAAAAAATTAATTAGAGTTCTAAGAGTAGGTCATATTCGCAAAAAGAGAACTTGTGCAACTTTAATCCAATTTATTTTTATTTTTGGTAGCCTGTCGCATGACTAACAGAAAAAAAAATATACTGGCAATAGACACGGAGAACTGAAGAGCATAGACATGTCATCATATAAATAGTAAAGGAATTTCTTCTGATATTAGTTACAAGAGAATTCAGGCCATAAAGAAACGATTTATCTTTTAGTAGATTTTAGTTTAAAAACTTTTGTTCCAGAAATTGAGATTGATTCTATTCGATTTGTCCATGAAATAAATCAGGTCGGTTTTTATTTCTTTTTCATTCAATTAATCAAACAAGACTGTAGTTTCGAGATTATTAAAAAGAATTAATCTAACAAGAATGAAAGCTCTACTTAAAGAATAAATTTTCTTTTATAAGTTCAGCTATAGACTCTTATTTTTTTTTTACTATTATCCAGATCATTTGTCAAAATTTTATCTTGACAAATGATGATTTACATATATTTTCACTTTGACACCTATCCGTTATTTTTACTGAACAATATCTTAATGTATTACTTTGTCAAATTCATTTGAAGAATTTATTGTAAATTTTAACAAGAATGTATAAAACAAAATTTATTTATTGCGAAAGAATTTATGACATTATCGAAGATTATAATATAGAGTACAAGACATATACGAAATAACTGTTTTAATGTGCAGGCAAATAGCCAATTCCAATTATTACTAAATAATATTCTTCGAACAAAGTTTATTCTTTAAAAAGTAAACTCATTATATGCTTCAACGTAGTATCAAAATATATTCAGAAATAGAGCATTTAAGACTAGACAAACTTAAATATGAGGACAGTCGTCTTATAGAGTGACGTTAACACTATTATCGGTACCATGTATCTGTCATTATTAAAAATTAAACATAGTCAATTAAAAGTCTAAACAATCTCGCTTGATGAGTTCTTCAATATTTAATACATGCCTTATTATTTAAAAATCCGTGTCATTTATTATTTATTGTGTTATTCAATAGTATTAAGCGATCTCAAGAAAATAAATCGAACTTTGTTTTTTTTTTTTGGTATAAAAAAATGACCTGATAAATAACTATTTCTATGCTCTTTTTTATGTATAATTCTGAGACTAAAATTCATAGAAGTGAATCTCTTGCAGTTGAAAATAGTTTTTGTTACCATTAAATCTATTTTCTTTGAATTTTCTCTACTATTATTACTGTTATAAATATCAACATATGTGACGTTTATTTCTTAAGATGGAATTCATGTTTTCAAAAGATAAACTCAACAATATGATTGCATGTAGTTTAATTGTCTTTTGATTAATTTTTTATTCTTACTTCACATCTATTGGTTGAATAAATAACTATGGCGTGTTATTTTATTTTTTGTTTCTAGAAATTAAACAAAGAAAAAAACATAAATGCCGTCGAGCTTAAGTGCATTATTTCAAGATAAATGTAGTCATAAAATAGACCTAGAAAAAAATTTCAGTTACTTTAGTTAAGTCAACGATAAACAAACAATAATGAAACTCAATAATTAAACTAAGACTAATATGAATTTTTTGCTTTAGTACATGTTTTTTTTATCTTGCCACCTATCGTTCTCACAGTGGTAAATATTTTTTACATTAACGTAAATTTTAAAACACAGTTGAAGTCAAAGTATGTAGGAAAACAGGCTGATATAAAATTTCACGAGATTAGCAATGTATATCTGAAAGAAGCCTATGAATATTTAGTAATAATTCGAAACATTGTCTATATCCTTGTTTGAATTCAGTAATGAATAGAAGGAATATTTTTTTTTCTTTTAATGCTATATAATAAGAGAATTTTTCTTTCCGGTAGATGCTTCTGAATTGATAGAAATTGAAATAGAGACATGAATGAATTTATTAATGTGTAAAATTTTTTAATGAAAAGTGTCTTCGTCTGTAATTTGAAACATCAAAGATTTTGAAATTTCTCATCTAGTAATAAGATTTTCTTTTGCAATAAAAACATTTTTAATTATTCTATTGATGGAACATCGCAATATTACTATTAGTAATGCTTCACATGATCCAATGTGAGAATACCGTAAAGATTTAATATATTTTAGTCATTTTTAACAGACTTGCAACACAAAAAGAAGGATAAGATAATTTATGTTAGAAAAACTATAGAAATATGTGTCTGTTATCATCGTAAAGTAGATGAGAAATTGAACTAATTGCATCATAGATATTTAGTTAGTGATGGAAGATCCTGCCAAAATTCTGTAACATACAATTTGATGTATCTTTATAAATGACTTACATTTTTTTTTTAAATTTAGTATCACTTTAAGAAATTAATTTCAAATGTCACAATCTATTATTTCAACTGCTGATTTAATATCTCATCGTGTAACAATTTATTTGGGGATACCTATCTTTTTCCTTGGTATGATAGGTGGATTTCTTAATATTATTGTTTTTCTCAGTCTAAAAACATTTCGGAATAGTTCATGTGCATTTTATTTGACTGTTATGGCAATGGTTAGTATTGGATATTTATTTTCTGGTTTACTTACATTTATAATGATGTATGGATTCGGTATTGATTGGACAAAACAATCAAGATCTTATTGTATATTTAGAGAAGGTTTTGTTCATATTTGTATATTAATTGCTTTTACATGTTTATGTCTGGCAACAATTGATCAATTTTTAGCAACTTGTTCATCTCCACGTTGGCAACAATTGTGCAATATTAAATTAGCCCGTCGTTTATGCGTAACATTTGTTATTTTATGGTTTCTTTATGGAATTTTATTTTTTACTTCTTATGATTTAATCATTGATTCTTCAACTGGTAATATAGATTGTATGGTTATAAATCAAACTTTTCAACAATATTTTAAAATTTGGCATGTTCTTATATTTTTGGGTGTATTACCAATTTCTATTACAGTCTTATTTGGATGCTTGGCATATAGAAATGTACAAAGATTATCTTATCGAACATTACCTCTTGTTCGACGTGAATTAGATAAACAATTAACACTAATGGTATTGATGCACATTGTTTTTAATTTTTGTGCTCTTATGCCATATTTAGTTATAAATGTGGTAATACTTCATCCCTATATGACACAAAATCCAGTTGCAAATGCAATATCAGCTTGTATTAGAATATTATCGATTATACTATTTTACAGTTGCTTTGCGGTAAATATAATAAAATTTGAATTAAATGATTAATTCATAAATATTTACATATATATATACTTTTAGTGTCCATTTTATATTTATATTTGTGCATCACAACGATTTCGTCATCAGTTAGTTTTTGTTCTTTACAAAATTCATCTTCAACGATGGCGCCGCCGAAATGTTGTTATCGATTTAGTAATACCACAACAATAAAAATTATGACATTTTACTGACAATCTTGTATATCTTTATTTGTTGTGTATATATTTGTCTGTTATATTATTCAATAATTTTAATTATACGATATGTGACAATTCTATTGTACAATATAACTTCATTTTCCCTAGAAAACAAGTGGTTATACAATGTCTGTAAAATATTTGTTTAATTGCATAGAATAATTATAATAATCTATCCGCTAATTATATCCATCGGGTAGTTTTAGACTGTAAAACATGGTTCAAACTAGTCAGTACTACTAAATCCATTAATGTAGTAAAATTGAAAGCGTCTTAAATTCATATCATTGAATCAATTCAAATACTTTTCTATAGAAAGAACATTTGATACTGTTGACTTCTTTTTCTGAATAGGATTTTGTTTTTCAAGAATTGTACATCATTCGAAAACTGTGATACAGTTCAATAATGTTATTAATAGAATCGTTTCTATCAGCGTGATATCATTCTGAGAAAGTTCTTGAAAATAGACAATATCTGGAAATCGCTCTGATAAAATGCACAACTGAACATTTCAATTCACGAATCGAATTGAGATGACTTATCCAGTTGTAACCTATAAACATTCAGGTCATGATGTTGTACTAATCGATACGTAAAGAAATGATTGCTACGTTCATGACTCAAGTCGATAGAAGTATACGCTGATATGTCATGAGCATAGATGTTTTAGCTAGATCTACGTATCGTGTAAGCATTGAAATCAAACAATGCAAAATATTATGTTTGCATGAAAGCACAATATGAAAATGCAAGTGTAACTCATGCATTTCTAAAGAAGAAATCTAGCGAAATATTACAAAGTTCATCACGAGATTTTGTCATGTAAATTTATCTTTTCTCTCAAATTAAAAAGAAATGTTTCTTTTTTGAATTAAATTCACATATTTGAAATTCTTTTTTTCAAATTCACTTTAATTCATAGACCTTTGCAAAATGTCTCAAATCAGTTCAACTCAGTTTATGAAATGAATTGAATTGAGTTGTCTAGTGCTGCTAAAATCTGTTACTCATTTTTCGAAACCTTAGATAACAATGACAAGATTAATAAGCATGATTTTTCTTTCTTCGAGTTTGCTTTAGTGATCTATTAATAGATCAGAAGAAAATGTCATTGTCAACTTAAACAGGTTGTCACTGTTAACTTTAGTTAGAGCTTTGATCTTTGCTATTGTGATTGAGTAAATGCTCGATACGTATGTTGCAATGAAGTCATTGCATATATACATATATACATTCAAGCAAAAATAATTAACCACTTGACTGTTAACGATGTATATATCCGTCAGAACAATTTTTACGGAAAAAAACGAAGACTATAATTCCTTAAATCTGTTTTTTTGTATGCTGTGGGTTGGCGCTA